CCAGTAGGCCTTGGAGCCAAGATTTTCCTCCCCTGTCCTTGAGGAATAGGTTCAGCCCAACTCCCTCCGTACTTTTTGGGGGACACTGAGTCTTCTAGCATAGTAGACTCCTCATCTCCTTCCAGTCCAAAGTGATCTTTGCTTTTTTTCTGTAAGGAAAAAAAGAAATGAGAGTTAAAGGGGGAGGAAGCGGGGGAAAGACAGGCTCTTTTTCCCAGTCAGCTATTTCCCAGAACCTGGCTCTCCATTTCTGTGAACCTTGCTTGGTGGGGGGGGGGGAGCAGCAGCCCCACCTTCTTAAGGATGATATCGATGTAGCCGGCAATGAGCTGCGCAATCTGCTCGCCCTCGGTCGTCTGTACTGAATAGTAGCCATCCTGGTAGTCCCCAAAGTCCTAGGGTAACAAAAGTGGGGGCTTAGAGGGAAAGATGAATCTCCCCACGAAGGAAAAGGGGAGGGTGGTAGCTCCAAGGACAAACTAAGAGGGTCTCTCCCAGGCTAACAGCCCTCTGGAGAGAAGCTGGCCTTGTAAAGTCTCCTCTGAGTTTCTTCCTTGGAGGGAAATACTTTATTTATGAGTCACAGTCTCTATGATATACTATTTTAAGCGCATGCCATTTCAGAAATCTCTTTTCCCTCATCCTGATCATCAAATTGGGACATAAACACTTGTCATTAAACTGCCGTAACAGAAGGTTAGCACTAGCATCCGCAGTGGTCAAAATGCCTTTATTAATGTCTCTCTCATTAGGGTACCTCATCAAATTGTTATCAGCTTTCAATTCATAACATAGAAATATAAACCTCTGGCCCTCCCTGATGGCTGAAGGGGTTAAAGTGCAGCACTATGAAGCTACTTGCAGCCACTGCAGCACAAGTTCAATCCCTGGCCAGGGAGCTGACCCACGTGGTGCAGCAGACATCTCCTGACCCGTCTGCTGCTCCCCTCGGCAGTGTATTTCAGTGGATCTGCTTGTTCTGCTCCCCACTCTGTCTCTGGTGAAGCCTCTTAGCCCCTGAAACCTCCAGCCTATACCCCAGTTCTTGTATGCATACGTAAATAAATCTTAAAAAGAAATACAAAGCCAGGAAAGTAAAACTACTATGTGTAGCTGATGTTGAAAGAAGGGAGGCTTTTCTTTCTCTCAATTCCCCCCATCCCAGGTTTCCTGTGATCTCAGCTTGCCAGTGAGTTTTATTTCATTGATTTAAAGTATGTTTCATCTGAGCCTCAGACATCATCTAGCAGAGTTTTCCCTCTGTTCTAATCTCTGCGCTCTTGGGTTAGTTCCCAAATTCTCATTTTGATTGGGGCCACACTAAGTTCCCCTGCCCTGAGGGAGGGGTATGCTGACCTTCCCTACAAATCCCAAAACTCCTTCGCCTCCAACCTGACTCACCAGGGTAAAGCTCTTGGGAGAGGCAGCCCAGCGCTTGATGTTGGTGAGGTTCCACTCCTGGATCACCTCTTTGGTCTTCTCATCCACGCGCATCACACACTCCTTGGTAATGCCCAAAAGTCTGGGCACCAGTTTGTTCTTTCCTTTCATTTTTTCCTGTAGGTGGGGGTTGTTGTTGGTGTTACAGGTGAGTGAACAAGAAGTGAATGGTCAGACCAGGTCTAGATCACAAGAGGGTTTTCAGGTAGGTAGGACAGCTTAAGTGGGTGTCTATGGGTGGAGCCAGGACAAAGCTCCTTCAGGGAAATGCAGGGCAGGAAGGAAGTGGCGGTGGACTGACCACTGGGCAAGGGTTCACGAAGAAGAGTGGGAATCTTTCAGAGAGCAATGGGAGGGGTGAGAGGGGTCTACAACCCACCTTTACCAGGAAGAAAGAGACACCGTATGTCTTGAGGGAACGAGCTAACTTCACATAGTTCACCTTGGCCTCTATCTCATTCAAATCCTTACAATTCTTGTGTGCCTGGGAGAACGAAATGGAGAAAGACTTAGAAAAATACGAGGAGGATAATATCACAGGCAAAGAGCTAAGTTGGCATGTTAACTACAGTGGGAGAGTATTATGGGGATGTAGGAAAGGTTAGGGGTGTAGGCGATGAGAAATGAGAGGACAGTGGGGGCTGACAGAGGATATGCTAAAGCAACAAGGGACATGGGTAAAGAATTTGCAGACATTCTGGAGATGTGGATGGAAAGTTAGGAAGTAGGTGAAATAGAAAGCCTTGTGGGCTGAGTATTAAAAGGCAGGGGATAATACCTTCATTTTATACAAAGATTTACTTTCCACAGTAATTATAGCACACTAACTTCGTTTGATTCTCCTATCATCCTATTCAGGGCAGGTTGCTGTTATCCCATGTTAGAGGTAAGAAAAGAAAACTAGAATACTGGCTTGAATTCTACAGCACAAGCAGCGAGGGAGCTGTGACTAAAAGCCCAGGTCTTCTGCTTTCTTGGCACAGGAGACGTGGGAGAACAGCTTGGTGGGTGGAAGCAGGGTCAGGGGTCCATTTAGTCAGGAGGGTTAAGCAGCAAAGCTCGCGGGTCATCCCAAACACTTTCCCCTAGCCCCATTCACCTGGAAGATCTTACGCTCTCCCTTCTGCTTCACATACTCCTTGGGCAGGAAGTCCTTCAGGCTACACCAGAAAAGGGAGGGTCAGCATGTAGTGGACAGCATCAGGGATATGTGGGCCATGAACTGTGGGCCTAGGGGTGTGAGGAAATGTCTAGAACAGTGTTATCGTTCAGAAGGGAGACTGAGGGAAGAGAGTCTGATTGTCCCTGAAATCATGGTGACTTAGCATTAGTTCTTGAATGCTGCCTGTGTCTCTCCCTACCGGAAAAAGGGACTGAGGGAACTTGAGTTGGAGGTTCAGTCCCTGAGGGAAAGAGGACTGGAGCACTGTTTCAGGGAACCAAGAGCAGAAGGAGCTCACTAGAAAGACAATCAGGCATGTAGAAGCTGGGAAAGCCACGCTGAACTCTACACATTTTGAGAAATACCAGTGGATGAAATTCATCAGACTTTTTAAATCCAAGGTTCCTTATGAGTAACTATGAGTAACTAAGTACCCTCCTTCCCTCTGGCTACTGTAGTGAAATTGACCAGGGAACCTCAACAAAGTCACATCCTCTCCTCAGAGGTAATGGTCCAGAGATTTTGGACTGTCATTAAGTTTCACAGGGGCAGTTAAGAGACAAATGGATAGTGGAAGCTAGTAGGTACCCACATGAGTCAAACCCCAGTGCTTCGAAGAGGCAAAGGGAAGAGGGACTTGGACGTGGATCACTCACTCGAGGAAGCCGGCCTTGTGCTTCTGCTCATTGTGGGGCCCAAACTGGATCTGGCATTGGAAGCCAGCAAACTCACAGGCCTTGTCGAAGGAGACAGGGTGGGAGCCATTCAGGATGTCATCTCGTGCCTGGAGCCAGGAAGAGGAGGCGAATGCTGTGTGTGGGCACAGGGAGGCCCCTCATCTTGCCTCTGCTCCTCTCCCCTCCTCCCCAACCCTGGACAAGCCCTGTCCACACCTGCACATAGAGGAGGTTCAGCTGCACCGGGTCCCGGGAGTCCACATTCTGGTCTGAGTAGAAGAACTTCCTCCGCAGCAGAAGCGTCTCATGCTCTTCCACACCCTGTTCCCTCAGTGTCCGGCCATGGTCCAGCCAGTTCACTGGGACACAGAGAACTTCCCTCAGTGCCAGGCTCACGGCCCCAGTGCTATCTGATTGCTGGCTTTTTGTTTATTTATTTATTCATTTCCTATCTTCTCTCACTAAAATGTTAAGCTCTGTGAATAGAGGACTTTATTACTGATGTGTTTTAGTATCTAATATAGCACCTTACAAAAGTACATACTTGATAATAAACAGCTTCCCCCCACTACCCAGCCATTTCCAACACCCTCTTTTCCCATTTCCACTTACACTCATCATCTGTGTGCAATTTCTGCTTTAGTTTCTCCATCTTCTTTTCATCTCTCAGCAGTGTCTTGTCCTTTCGCAAGGTCCCCGTCACCTCCTCCTTCTTCTCTTCCATCAGCTCTCGAACCAGTGAATATTCATCATGGTTGGTGATGCCTGTGGGAGGGGGTGGGAGGGCAGCATCCCAGGTATGGAGCCAAGTCTTTGGGCAGTCAGTGTCGCCCTGCCCCGGCCCTCGGCCCCACGAACCCTCTTACCGATGCGGGCACAGATGGTCATGAGCATGTCAGTGACGGTCTTTGAGTCATCTACCATGATAGTCTTCACAGTTCCATCTAGCATCCGGATCTTCAGGGGTCTCTGTTTCTTCCTATATTCCATGGTGTCCTGTTGGGGCCGGAAAAGGAAATAGGGGCTCATTTTAAGCTAAAGGTATTACTTCCTTTTCACATGGCCAGAGGGGAGGAAAGTAGATTACCAAAAGGAAGACCAGATGCGTTTAAATGAGGGATATTATAGTTGTCTGTAATAAACAGAAAGCAGAGGCAGGGTCAGAGACAGTGCATGTGGGGGCTGAAAAAAGGAGGTGATAGGAGGACATGGTGGTCCTGGGTGGAGTGATACTCACCCCATTTCGGAGCATGTAGTAATCCAAAGCTTTCCCAGACTCCAGCCATATACCCTTTTTGGGGTCATCATCTGACAGAAACAGCCCAAAGTCGCTAGCTAAACGAGAGGGAGAACAGGTCACTTCAGACTTAGGAAGACCCCAACATGGCCATTTCCTCAGTGACCCTGGGCTAAAAAGGGAGGGAACCAAGGACCACGACCTGATGGGGGTAAAGCCTGGGGGGACAATACGCTCATCTCTCAAGGCTAAGAGCCTGGGGCGAGAAGGGAGGGAGGATGTCCACCCCAGCCACCTGGGTAGTGAGACTCACGAGAGCCAGCCGGGGCCTCCGGGATACGCTCACGGATGATGCGACAGGCGTCGTACACCATGGTGGACGGCTCAAACTGCATCGTCTTCACCACATTCCCAATGCTGATCTTCAGCGAAAGCGCAACCATGGTGGCGGTTTCTCCTCTCCAGCCTGGCTAGACCTGAACCATGGCATCAGGGCATTAGAATAACCCTAATCAGAGGAGGGGATGTCCCCAGACAGAATTCCCTGGAGGGGTGTTTCTCAAATGGACTTACCAAAGCAGGTAGCACTGAGTTTGTCTTATGTTATTTTTTAAAAGATTTTTAAAAATTATTTATGCATACAAGAATCATGGTATAGGCCTGAGGTACGGGGGAAGGATGAGAGTTACCAGAGACAGAATGGGGAGCAGAATGGGCAGGTCTATTGAGATACACTGCTGAGGGGAGCAACAGGCAAAACAGGAGAGGTCTGCTGTGCCATATATGGGTCAGCTCCCTGGCTGGGATCAAACTCAGGCCACAGTGGGTGGTGACAGCTTGATAGTGCTGAGACTTTAACCCCTGTATCACCAGGGAGGCCTGAGGTGAAGTTGTTTTATATAATAATTTTAAAGAGTGAAAGATGACTTACTTCAAAAGGACCAGTTCTAGGCCCTCCCTGGTGGCGCAGCGGGTTAAAGCACAGCATCAAGAATCTAAATCCGCTTCCGCATGAGTTCGATTCCCGCCTGCCCCGGAGGTGACCACATGGCGTGGCAGACCTCTCCTGACCCGCCCGCTGCTCCCCTCAGCAGTGTACTTCGTCGATCTGCCTGTTCTGTTCCTCCCTCTGTCTCTGGTGAAGCCTCTCACCGCCCCTGAGCCTCTGGCCTGTACCCCAGTTCTGTATGCACAAATAAATAAATCTTTAAAAAAAAAAAAAAAGGACCAGTTCTAACCATGTAAGACATATGAAGAAGAGGCTAGTGTGCTGTGAAAGGGGCAAGACTAAAATGCAGCGTTCCCTGAGGACAGCCCCTACCCTAAAACCGGGAGCTGTGCTTCCCTTCTTTCTTTCAAAAGGCTCTCTCCCCTCCCATCCCTGTTCCTTTCCCAATCCTGCTGGTCTTTCTTTTTTTTTGGCCTTGCTTTTTGTCTTTTCCTGTTATTTTTTCCCCTCTTACTATGTCCTCCTGACTTTTCCCTGTCTTGGATTTTTAGGGCTCAGCCCTGACTCATCATGTGAGCTTTTCTCATAGGTTAGCCGCCTTCTTTGTAAAATGAAGATCTTCAATTAAATAATTCCCAAGGGATCTTGAACCTTGCTAACACTGACTTTAGCTGGCCCAGTGGGGTGGTAGGGGTGTGTGTGTGTGTGTGTGTGTGTGTGTGTGTGTCAAACATCATCTGTTCAAGTTATCTCAGCCTGAAATGTTGGGGGCCCCCTGAGAAGCCTGGCCCCATTTTGGCTTCCCAGGCAGTGCCTACAATTTTGATTTCCTAGTTCTAATGCCACCTGGGGGTGGCAGTAGCAGCAAGTTTCATGGTGGACAGAGGAAGAGCCCAGCCCTTCTAACTCAGTCCTTGTTCCCTGCAAGTAATCCAACGCTTTCCCAGACTCCAGTTAATAGCCAGCTCTTGCAACTCTCCTGTTCTATCTGGTCCTTCTTAAGCTCTGCCTCCATCTCTGCTGCCTCCCCTGACTGTATTTTCAGTGCAGCGCGGCATCCACCCCGCTCAGACCGCTCCCCTCTGGTACCACCTCTGGCCTGGCTGGAGGAGCCCCTTCAGGCAGCAGGTGGCGCACAATGCTGTTTGCCTGGCAGCTGATGCGACCCGTTCTGTACCAGGACTGGTGTATTCGTAACTAAAAGAATGAGCTGCCCAGTCCCCTCCTGGCACAATGCTAACCCTGAGAGAGGAAAAGCAGAACTAGAGGGGGATGGCTGGAAGCGGGGTAGGGATATGATGATACAGAAAGCTGTTGAGAACGAGGAAAGCTGGGAAGAGGAGCGTGAGAAAATCACAAATCTAGGTGAAAATGGGAGACAGGAGGCAGATTCGGGGAAGATCTGGATCAGGGGAATAAGAGACCACTTCTGATCTTACACACTACCTAGAGGCTCAAAGGAAAGAAAACACAGTTCACTATCTTTACTCCCAAACAAGAGGACCCTCCCAGCATCCCCAGTTCCAGCTCTCTACCCATCTCCATTCCTGGGGCACCTCTCCCAGTACCTGCAGAGTCCTGGACCTTGTGTTACTGGAAGGTCTGAGGTTGAGAGCTGAGGGCAGGACTGAAAGGACTTGCCACCCAAAGCTGAAACTGCATGTTTCCCCCACTTCCTCCGGACATATGGACACCCCCTTCCTTTAGCACAGAAACTGCTGGGGAGACCCCGATAAGCAAGTTGAGTCATGCCAACTCTTACCCCCAGGCCAATCCTAAGTAGATCTCCCCATAGCTACAAAAGGGTGAGGCGTGAACTGTGGGTGGTGAAATATAATGAGGCCCCTGAAAGTAAGGGGAGAAGCTGTCCAGTTCCTGCTCCCCTTTCGATCATGTTTATGGAGCAGCAACAATGTCCCCCCCCCCATGTCCCCCACCCAGGGAACTCCTCCTCCCTCAAGACATTCCTGAGATGCATTCCAGACGAGTTGGGCAATGGAGGAGGGGGGAATGGAGGACAGGAGGTCAAATCCCAGGAAGGAATGGAATGTCCTGGGGGTAAGGAATTTGGGGTACATGGAGAATATAGTCAGAGTAGATACCTACGACAGAGCTGCAGAAAGATAGGGAGTTCTCAGAGAGTATACAGAAGGAGAGAGAAAGTTAAAGACATTCTGAACATAAGGTTAGGGAGTTAACAGTCTGTTACCAAATTTGGCCTCTGCGGCAACCGCTAGGAGGGGGGACGGGGGAGGGGGAGGGGGAGGGTTGTGGGTGAGACGACATATCCGGCTGCTGGAAGCTCACTTAGCACTGGCCAGTGAAAGGCTGGACCTGACTTCCCTGACACAGCCTCTCACGTACACCTCTATCCATGTATATGCATTCTCTCTAAATGCACCCTTGTCTAGTCACTGAGCTACTTAGGCTGTGGCTACAGCACCAGTTATCTCAAACGAACAGCCCCCACACAGACCCCATCACAACCGCACTATCTTCTCATAAAGACCCAGCCCACACATATAGCTTCCCACAAGTATACCTCTATCTGCAAGCACACAGGCTCAGCCCCAACGTCTCTTCTCCAGAATGACGACATTCTCCCTCCACTCACCCAGCAAGCATTTCTTGTGGGGAAGCCCTGGGCCAAATTCTTAGTGGATGGGAACCAAGAAGAGTTAAATCTCAGTCTTTGCCCTCAAGGGATTCCAGTCAGCTAAATGGATAGATTCAATCAGAATTAATACCAGAGCAAGATGTGGTTAAGAGCCAAGAGGTGTGTGCTCAAGGGAGACATTCCTTTTGGTTAAGGAAGGAGGACCCAAAAGTCTTATAAAGTATCACTTGAGGTAAGGATTTTTAAAAAAGAAGATAAGAAACAGTAATGATCTTTTATTGACTAAAATTGCCTTATATTTTGAATGATTATTTTGTATATACACAATTTCATTTAATCCTTACAACAACCCTGCAAGGTAGGTGTGGTTATTACCATTTTTACAGATTTGGAAACTGAGGCTCAAAGATGTTAAACACTTGTTTAAGTACTTGTCCAAAGTTAGTCAGCTAAAATGCCGTGAAGCCAGGATCCGCACCCAGGTTTCTCTAGTCCAAAGCCCAAGCTCTCTCCACTACACCGGCCGGAGATGAGTGTCCGGGCAGCTGTCCAGGTAGAGAGAATAGCGTAAGCATAGGTGAAGAAGCAGAAATCGTGGAGGAGCATTCAGGGAAGTGAGTAGGCAGGCTGGTTGAAGCACAGGGTACCTGCAAGGGAGCAGTGATGGGGAAGTTAGGGTTAGGGTGGAATGGCAGGGGACAAGAGGAGTATGAAGAATTAAACTACTAGAGGGCAGAAGTAGGCCACGGGAGGCTTTGACCAGAAAGGGGTATTTTATGAGAAGGTTGGTCTTTTAAAAAAATTTCTGTAAACAAGAACTGGGGTACAGGCCAGAGATGTGGTGGGTGAGAGGATTCACCAGACACAGAGTGGGGAACGAACAGGTGGATCTACTGAAACACACTGCTGAGGGGAGCAGCAGGTAAGACAGAAGAGGTCTGCTGTGCCATGTGGGTCACGTCCCCTGGTTGGGGGTTGAACTCGGTGCTGCAGTGGCTGGGGGCAGCTTCATAGTGCTGAGACTTAACCCCTTGTGCCAGCAGAGAGGCCCTGAAAAGGGCATTTTATGAAAACAACTCTGGCAATTACTTTGGAGACTGGTTAGAAACACAGCATTAGTGGGATGTAATGAAGCCAGGGTCGGAATGGTGGCAAGAGGACATCATTCAAATTTTAAGCAGCAGAAGTAACAGGGTCTGATGACAATGTGTCATGTCAATCCTAAGGGACCAGAGACCAAAATCAGGCTAGGATCACCTAACTTCCTGTCACTAGTAGCTTCTTAGTGGCTGGGCAGCTTAAGTTTAGGTGAGGAACTGGGAAGTGGGGGGGAAGGATCAGAGTGAGCTGGGAATGTGATGATAAGGCAGTAGTGAGGCTGTGGGAAAATGGGGGAGATGTGATTAGTACCAAGGATGAAGTCAGTGAATGAATCTAGCTGAAAATGGAGAAGACAGTGTGCAGAGAAAAGGCTGGTAAAGATGGCAGTACAAAAAGTACATATGTGATCAGCCCTGAGTCAGGCTAGGGGCAACGGATAACATAATTCTGTGGGTGGTAGCTAAATCAGGGAATGATAGTGTGAAGTCAGAGGCCACTTCACGCTAGAGGAGGCTGAGAAGTGGGGCTGTGGTTGGTGGCAAAATTAGGCCAGGGTGGAACAAGAGTGATGTTGGAGTGGGGGTGATGGGATGCAGCCAGTGGTGTCAGGCTGTGCAGGGGATCATGATGTGGTCAGTGTCAGGGTCAGCTGGAGTGAAATGGGGGTGTGGTCGGTGGCCTGGCTGGGCGTGGGACCAGCAAGACCCAATTTCCTCTTTGGGTCTCATTTCCTCTTTTTATGAGATGTAGGGGGAGGGGACCTACAAAAGGACCAAGAAACCTAGGAAGCTTAGAATTAGGGGTAACACATAGCAGCACTGGGGGTACTGGGCAGTTGTTTTGATTTGTGGTGGGATAGTCAACAGATGACCAGGAGATAGGAAGGTAGATGAGTGTATGATAAAAGAAGGTTTGAAAATGAAGAGGAAAGACCAGTGGGTGGGAGGTAAGTTAGGGGGTGGGAAAGGAGGCAGAATTGACGCTGGGAAAAGATGGTAAGATGAGCAATGAACAAGGAACACAGGAGAATTAAAGCCAAGGGAAGTACCCTGTAAGGGGTATGCAGGAAGGGTCTGAAGCACTGGGCTGGGAAGGAGCTGGAGAGATCTTAATAACTAGGGAAGGAGAGGAATGGGAGGCAACTAGACTGACCTTTCAGAGGATTCAGTCACCCACAGCAGCAATGCTTCCTTGGTCTGCTTCCCCGAGGCTCCTGCTTAGTCACCGATTCCCATGTCCCTAGGCAGTCCCCCACTTAGGACTACCCCGATACACCAGGCCTGGGTTCCTGTTCCTTTCCTACTTATTATTATCCAGAAAAGCCTGCGTCTGTGTTGGCTACAGCAAGTTACTTGGGTTCAGAGAGTAAAATAAAAAAGCTGGGGCCCAGGATTTCTGCAATTCTAGCTGAAGCCCAGAACCCTAATCTAGAATCTATTTGTCATTTCTCAGGGCTAAAGAAGCCTCTATGACTTTGCAGGTCTAAAAGCCGCATGAAATACAGGCATCTGTCTACTGCTGGCCTCTTCATTTTCAGATGTCCAAGTCCCACTCTCCTGATTTCAACCACAATCCCGAAAACTTCCCCTAATTCCTAATATCAGCTCGACCCTAATTTGTTTCCTGATTTCCAATACTGGCTTTGACAGTTATCCTCTTGCTAGATACCTGTACCTAATCCCTGATTGCTAACACGGATCTAATTTTTACCTTTACGACCAAACCCCCTAACCTTAACTCTAAATACTGACCCCTAAGTCTAATGCTCATTTGTCATTGAATTCCCGAACCACTCCTTCACTGTTTATCGCTGACGCTGACAATGCTAATATTCTCTGATCCCTGAAACTGGGTTTCAAACCTAATTCCTACTGTCGACCTAACCACCCTTAGCTGTGCTGGAATACAGCTGACCATGCCAGTGAACAAAAACCCTTAACCCCAACTTTACCTACAAAAAAGGAGCTGATTCACTGGAAACAGTTTGCACCCGGCTTTATAACTTCTCAGCTCATCTTAATTCCTTATCCCAATCCCACCTGGCCCCAAAGCCTCTCCAAACTTTCTAACCCACAAAACACAACCGCTATCAGTTAACCTCAGAGCCCATGCCCGCCCCGCGCCTCACCGCCACCCCAGTCCTCGCCCCCGCCCCAAACGAACCCTGAGAGAAGACGGCTCCGGGCCACCACCTGGCCACCGCAAAACGGCCCACGTAACGGCGAGGCCAGCCAAGATGCCCTGGACCCTGGCCTCTGCAACAGGACGCGAAACCGGAGACGCAGGACACAGAGGGGCTCCGCCCGCCGCCGCCCGGGGAAGGGCGCCCCACCCTTAGGCTACTGCACGGTGCGCTCCGGCCTACCTGTGCTGCCCGGCTCTGCGCCCCGCCAGCCGGCCCGCGAGCCCTCTCGTCTCCCGGTGGCTGGCTGTGGGGCTCGGGCCTCGCCCTCGCTTCGACACTCGCGGCGGCTTCCGTCCCGATTACGGCATGGGCGGTGCCTGAGACCCGCGGCGCTCTACGGTCGCAGGGGCTACAGGAAGCTGCTCTGGCCTCAGCTCTCGATGGTCGGGAGCCGGGGCCCCCATCCGGCTCTCCGGCCGGAAGCGGGCAGCGACTTGTTTGGGAGCTGGCGCAAACTCTCAAATCTGTTCCTTCATCATTTCCGGAGCAGAGAGGAGGCATTCTGTTGACGTGGCGGGGGCAGTGGTTGCAAACCGAGCTGGCGGGCCGACCGGCCGCCTGGGACCAAGCCCGGCTGAAGGAAGACGGACTAGCGGACAGGTCGACCGACTGTAGATGGGTGCCGTGTACCGGTGGGGGTGTGGGGGGTTAGCACCAGTGCCAGGGGAACACCTGTGTTTCTGCCCCTCCTTGCGTAGATGCCCCCAATGGAGCTGGCGTTGGACCCAGATGGCCAGGACCTGCTGGACTTCCTGGTAGAGGAAAGCGGAGACTTGGGGGCGGTTCCCGACGAGGCTCTGGAGGCTCCGGAGGATTGGGGGCTGCCGCTTGCTGACGTGAGTGGGGGCTTTGATTCCGGGAGGTGCGGCCCCCGGGCGTCCTTGAGGCCAGAGGATAGAGCTAGGCGGGTTGATTTAATTCAGCCCGTGCAGGTAGACAATGATTGGGATGTAGAAGATTTCCTGAGCTCGCTGCTGAGTCCGCCTGCATCCTCCTCCAGCCCCTGTTTGGTCGGCCATGATCACACCTACTCCCTCCCGCAGGAACGTATCTCCATAGATCTAGGTGAGTCTGGAATAACTGTTGTTTGGGAGAGGACTGATGGACTTTGACTAACTTAGGCTGCCCCTTTTGCAGATTGCGGAAGCTGTGGAACACAGGGGGTCCAAACGAATCCACTGCTTGTGGCGGAATCAGCAGAACAGGTACTCGATTTACAGGAGGATTATTCCTGCGTTGCTTGGATGGGAGCAGGTTTTTTTTTTTTTTTAATTCTTTACTTAGTTACTTTTGACAGAGGTGACTTGGTGTATTCTTATCAGGTATCACCACCATAATGCATCCCCACCCACTCAGCCATTCTCCTCCACCCATACTGCACCACTACAGATCGTTTTGTCTCCCACCCTCCCTGTTCTTTCCCTTCCTCCACACCTCCCACCCTCAGTTCTGTAGTCAGCTGCAAGGGTTAGTTTTTCAGGTGTCTTTGACTATTAATTTAGTTACTTTATATTCCACATATTAACCACACCATCTGGTATTTATCCCTCCTATTTCACTTAGCATTTTCATTTCAAGTACCTCTCATGTTGCTGCAAATGACTTAAGTTTATCTTTTTTGATCACTTAGTGATCAAACCCATTTGTTGATCCACTCAGCTGCCCTGGGGCAGTTAGGTGGTTGGTTCCATAGTTGAGTTACAGTAAATAGTGCTGCAATAAGCATGGGAGCGCAAGTTTCCTTTAGAAGTAGTATTTTTGAATTTTTTTTGATGCATGAAGCAGGATTCTTCATTCCTGTCAAATATTCCCTCCCAACTTGGCTGCTCTTACTCCACCTTCCCGGAACCCCAGATTACTAGGTTGATGCTGACAGATGAGGAAAAGAGGCTTTTGGAGAAGGAGGGGCTTACCCTGCCTGAGATACTTCCTCTCACTAAGGTAAGATTCCCACTGGTGGAGCAGGGTGGGTGGGGGGCGGTTTGAAACCTAAGTCTGCCAATTATGTCAAATTTATATCACTAATTTGAAAAAGTATTGAGGTGAGAAATCTTAGCAGATTTCTTGCTAATAGGAAACTGATGCATGTAATGTGTTAGATACATGGGTGGATTCTGGTTTTGTGGGGCGTCTACAAATTTTGTTGTTCTCTTTAGGGAAAAGAATTCTTAATTATCAGTGCAACATTATTATAGAGCATTGACTGTGCAAGTTTGGGGCCCCTGACCTCTTAGATTTCATTGGCTTCATGATACTTCACCTGGTGCTAAATGGTAGAATTTTTAGAAAAGTTCATGCAGAAGGCCCAAGCAGCACAACAGGAATAAATGTACAATTGCGAATTTTAGGTTGCCACCCAGGAGTCTTGCTGTTGCCACCCAGGAGTCATGCTGTTAGGAACACAGTATTTTGATACTGTGAAGTCAGTGTCCACTGAAATAAAGGAAGAGGGCATTTTAATTGCTTAAAGTATGGGTCAGCAGTGTGCTGTGGTGATCAAGAAAGTGAGTGGGGTTTGGAGGCTGTAGCGGGCTTGCCTCTAGCAGAGCAGTAACTATCTTGCTCTCTTTTCCGCTGGTTGGTGTAGCTTAAGTGTCTGGCTCTGAACGTGGGACCTTTTGACAATAAGAGGATGCAGTTTGTCTTGAAGAGATAAGATCATGAAGAAATGTCAGGTGCCTTAAAATAACTCAAAGCCATTTGTTCTCTCTGGTCCCAGAAAGTAAATTAGGTACTAGGTCCAAAGGAAAGAAATTACAGAGGCAGATGTTGGGTCAGGATAAGGAAGGTGAAAAAAAAGTTAACTGACTTGTGAGGACCTTAACACCTGGCCCTTGGCTGCATTCAGAGAGAAGCCAAATGCCTATTGTCTGTAGAAGGGATCCTGCATTGGGAAGATGGAATTCAGTAGTTTTCTAACTCTGATTCAGTGTTCCACTGGTTTTCCTGTCTTTCTCAGATGGAAGAAAAAATTTTAAAACGTGTGCAGAGGAAGATTCGAAACAAAAAATCTGCTCAGGAGAGTCGAAGGAAAAAGAAGATGTACGTGGGGGGTTTAGAGGACAGGTATTAGAGGGAAAGGGACTTGGGGGTGAGGGAAACCGGTAATTAGAGGAAGTGTTTTTCAAGGATGGATACAATCCATGTTCCCACATCCCCATTATTTCCCTAGGGTCCTGAAATACACAGCCCAGAATATGGAGCTACAGAACAAAGTACAGCTTCTGGAGGAACAGAATTCGTAAGCAACTCCCCAACATTAGTCCCTTCTAGTCCCTCCTATTTAATGTGGCCGTACTTTCACCTGCTTCACATTTGATTTCTACGATGGCAGTTCCCACACGCAAAATCTTGTGCTTGGGTTTTTCTGGGTTTCTAATTCCAAGCAGCTCATATTAATGAGGAGTAAATTCACAAATAACTAGGGATAAGTTAAGTACCAAGACAGAGAAAGAAGACCTCAGGGGCAGATAGCATTTGACAGAAGGTGGAATTCCGGGAGGTAGGATGGAGAGAAACGTTTCAGGCAGAGTCCCAGTGGAGTCCAGTGTGGCTAGAACCCGTAATATGGGGAGCCAAGTCAGAGAGGCAGAGAACACCGAGTGGCTGGGGAGGGTTTTGTGCATAGCTGCTCAATGTAGAACTATTGAAGGTATTTAGTAAGGAGTTCAAGTCTGGTCAGAGAGGGAGGTGTGTGTTTGTTTTAATGAGAAACTTCAGGCATTTTGTCCACAGAGAAGTCATTTGCAAAAATATGACAAAAAGAAGATTCAGTGCACAGAGGGGAGGTTTCACTGTAGCCCAGGGTGCCAGGCCAGGGCAGCTTGCTGTTTCCTCTCCCCCTCTAGGTCCCTTTTGGATCAGCTGAGGAGACTCCAGGCCATGGTGGTTCAAGTATCAAACAAAACCAGTAGCAGCAGCACCTGTGTTCTGGTGAGGATGGTGATGGGCGAGTAGGTTTTCTTGGTGGTGGGGACAGGGGTGTAATGTGGAGCTCTTCTCCTTTTTCCTGTGCTCCAGGTTCTACTGTTCTCCTTCTGTCTCCTTTTCGTGCCTGCCATGTACTCCTCAGACACAAGGGGGAGCCTGCCAGCTGAACACAGAGGTGAGAGGGCTGAGGATGCGATACCACCACAGAGGTTGGTGCGGGCAGAAGCCTGGCCTGACCCTGACGTCTTTGTCTCCAGTGTTGTCCCGCAGGCTCCGTGCCCTCCCCAGTGAGGACCATCACCAGCTGGAGCCGCCTGCCCTGCAGTCCAAGGCGTCGAAAGATAGCTCAGGCCATGGGCCCCAAACTCCTGGCAACTCTTGCTGCCTCCTCTGCGTGTCTCAGGCTTGTGATGCAGAGCTTCCCCTCACGTTGCCATCCCCAGATCCCTTCTCAGAGCCCCCCTGCCTGGAACCCACCCTGCTCCTGCATGCAAATCTCACAACAGGAGAAATGGCTCACTCTCCAGAGCCCCACACATGTCATCTCACAGGGCAAATACTCAGACTCAGCATCAGTATATGGGGGACTTCAGCAAGAGCTTGGGGCCCCCAGTCTGCATCCATATAAAAAGGAATAGGAGAGGGCTAGCCTCAGCTCCTGTGCCCTGTCAAGAAGCCTGAGGGCTCACATACACTACTACTTAATGGTTTTCTGGGCCTTTTCATTTGCACCCATCTAGTCACCCCATGATTGGGCCTGGGGGCATCAACTGACTTTGAACATTGCATGCACTGAGGGGAAGGGAAGAAATAAATAAGTGATTCTGATGCCTGGATCACCCTCATCCCCTCTTACTGATATGATTGTTGGTGGGGAGAAGGGAAGGGGGTGTGATTGTCTTGGTGGCTCAGGGCTGCAGGAGACTGGCGGGGGTGGGTGGGGTGAGATGGGGAAGGAGGGACGGCCAGGTGGGAGGCTGGACTATTGGCATCTCCTTCCCAAAGTTCAGAGGGCTCACTTTGGGCTCAGGTTTGCTATAGCTTCCTTAAGTCCAAATTTAGGCCCAGTGCTTAGTCCTGTCCCCTGCCTGGCTGTGGCTCGGAGGCCTTTTTATGCTGCCGCTGCTGCAGGGCCAGCTGCATGGCCCAGATGCTCAGTGGCCGCATGTAGGCCAGCGAGCGGAACACCTGCTGTTGGCAATATGCTTCGGGAGTCTGGAAGGCCAGGCCCAGGCGCTCCCACACGGTACGGTAGCAGCCTTCGGCTGTCTGGAAACCCTCCCAAATCAGGCCCTGTAAGGAGAAATGACAGTCATATTACTTGGCAACCCCTGAATAGCCACTTTAGTTGGACAGATGGAGACAATTAGGGTCTCTGACCACAGGGAACTCCCAGCTGGCGGGGAAGATAAACTTGACCCCACAGGCAGAAGCCTGAAGGCAGAAGATGGAATGCATGCCAAGGGAAGCGGGGAGGATATCCGGATGGATTAGATGACATTGAGTAGAGCTGTACAGTGTGGCTCAGGAAGTCTGCTGGGCTAAGGTACAGCAGGGGAGAGCTGGGAAAGGAGCATTACCTCTTGGATCATGGTGGCAGCCAGTCCATAGACCACGCCCACCCACACTTCATCAGACTGGATACTGGATCTATCCGGGACGCCATGGGGCTGCATCCCATTCACAGCCCCCATGGTCCCTTCTGCAAAGGCCTGGACATTGAGCTCAAAGATAGTTTGGAGAGCACGGACCACATGTGGAGTAGGAAATACCTAAAAGGGTAAAGGCAGAAACGTGGTCTCGTACTTGCTTCCCACACCAAAGGAAAAGCCCATCTTTCTGGCTTCTAGTCTCTCACCTCAGTGTCTCCTTCTCCTAGGCCACAGGCCCTCAGGAACCACTGGCCAGCACACTGGTCAGACATGATACTACAGGACTGAGGCTGGGAGCTGCAATCGTAGTTGTAATAGCGGCCTAGAGTAGAGAGAGGGCAAAGTGAGACTCCTTGTATCACCACTGCCTTAATAAGGCTTCTTGAATCCCCAACTCACCATTCCACAGCAATCTCTCGTAGGCTTCTTGGCCCCGGCTGAGGATGGAAGAAAACTTATCCCGGATGTCTTGTGCCTCACACAGAGCAGCCATCTGGACCATCACAGCCACAGCTGCCAGCCACAGTCCTCCACAGTAAGCACTGATCAGGGTGTGAGTTTGAAGGTCAGGTTGGAAGCTACTCCCGGGGAACATGACAGGCAGAGTCCGGAGCCCAGTCCCTTGGTGCCCAGTTTCCCACCTCAGGCCCCCTGGAAGTCCCTACCCCCCAACCTGGGGCCTGTGGTGACCCATCCATCATAGGTCTGATCTGCATAGCCTCCGTTCTCAATGAGTCCATCTTGGTCCTTGTCAAACTTCATTTCAGACTCCATCACGGCCTAGAGAGGGACCAAGACACTGAAGACCTAGATACTAAGGAGAGAACAATAGCCAGCAGGGCTCTCCCCAAACACCAGTCCTGCCCCTGGCGCACGGGCCACTACACATACACTCCTTACCAGACAAACAGGCCACATGTCCCTCAGGAAGCCCTGGTCACCAGTCAGATAGTAGTCCCGATAAACCTGCAGCACAAACTTCAGGTTCAGGTCCTTCCAGTCAGCAGTATCATGAATCAGATATGCATTGACCCGGAGCCACGGCTCATCATCTGTGGGAGGGGAGGGAACCTGGCTCATTTGCACTGGTGGGCAGGGATGAGGGTGCACAAGTTGAGGGAGGGCAGCTGACCTTTTGGTGGAGGAAATTTTACCTGGGTCCCCGATATCGTGGGGGATGACATTCCTCCTCTTCACGGGTGCTGTTATCCCACTCATCAGGTACCGTCGCTGTGTCAGGTCCTCCCCGAGAGTGGCCAGAGCTGGGGGAGCAGGCATACAAATGGGAGAGGGGTGTAGAGGGCTGTGTGACCCCACAGGGGGGCCATTAAGCAGGATACAAGGAGGTTTGGAGGAAGAGAACCTGGGACCACAAAGCTTCAGGAGTGGGGCGATCTAAGATGGCAGAGGGGGCACAAAAAGGATCCTCACCCATCTCATACTGCAAGCTGAGCTCGAGTTTGGGCCAGAGCATGATGAGGGCAAAGGAAGCATAGAAGTGGACGTCGTATGTGTTATACATGCGATATTCCTGGCCTGCAGGAGTAAGGGGACACGTGGTTGCCAGAATTCCCGCTTCCCCTTCACCTCCCCGCCGTTGCTTGTCTGCGGTCGTGGTGGGGCACTGTCACCACTTCGTACCCACCACTGATCCCCTCCATCACAACCAGTCCCTGGGCACGCAGAAGCCACTGGCCTGCCTCGTGGTAGGGAACAAGCCCCAGCCCCCGGCAGCCCCTACCTTCAAGGTAGCCAAATCGACCATACTCCTGTAGGGTGGGCCAGAGCTGACACATGCTGCCCCCCAGCTCCTCCGGCAGGGAGCCCTCAGGAACTTCCAGCCAGACTGTGCCTCCGTCGGCCAGGAAATACAGTTCATTGAACAATGCAGATTTGTACCAGGCAGGCAAGGACCTGGGGAGTCCAGAGGAGGGAATGTTCTAAAGAGTATAGACCTTCCAGGACAGGAAGGATTTGGGGGGCTCTAGCAGAGTGGAGGCACCAAGTGAACCCCAGCCCAACTGCTGACTGGTGGCTGGAGAGTGAATGAGGAGTCCGGATCAGAGTATAAGTATCTGGGAGAAAGGCAGGAATGGGCCCCACTGGCACCTGTCATCCAAGACTGGTTTCTGCCAGGCCGAGAGCTTTTCTTCCCAGTCTGCGTATCTGCACAGGGCGTAGTGGCTCAGGGCGGGTGCCGCATTACCGTCCTGGCCAAAGAACCTCGTGTACCGCCTGGAGTAGAAAAAAAGGGGAGGCACAAGAATAAGGACTCTATTTCGGAGTCCTCACACCTCAGATCCCCGCACTTTCGGCCCCCTCACCTGTAGTGGCTCTGGCCCTGAGCGCCGAACATGATCTTGGGCATGTCCCAAGCCAGTGAGAACTCCAGCCGGCAGTGGCCTCGAGGTGGCAGCTTGCCCGCAACACACACAGCCCCAGCGATGCCTATTCCTTTCTGGGAGGGGGTGCTTGGGCCTGAGAAAAGCACAAGTGTCATCAGCTCAGGTACTTCCTCCAGTCTCAAGGACCTCTAATGGGGATACAGGACCTATTCATTACCAGGCCATTCACCCCGCTCCCCAGACAGACAACCTCTCTTCCCACTACCACCTCCTTGTCAGAACCCCTATCACCAGTGGGGGAGTCCAGCTGTCCATCTTGAAGTAGATCCTGCCACACCTGCTGCCCAGTGCCATCAGGATCAAAGGCTGTGACGTGGGTTACTGTGGTTTCTGCCTGTTAAGGGGCCAAAGGCTCTGTGAGGTGAAGCCTGGCTTCTTAGCCCTCCCAGCTCAGGAGGTTTAAGGGCTGTGGTGAGGGTGGGACACAGAGGTTGAAGAAATGAAAAGGCTGTGGTGGGGAGTGGGGCTTGCAGAACAGAGCGGGAGTCTGGAGGCTAAAGTACAAACAAGTTGGTTTCTTCATACCGTGCTTCGTGCAGCTACAGCCATTGTGTAAGGATTCGGAAGGGTTTGATGATGCAGCAGCAGCCCCTGTACAGCCTCCCCGTCACGCTCCAGACGGAAGGGCTCATTCCACAAGCCCCCTGACACATCATCTTCACCTCCCAGTCCATTCCTCATGGAAAACATGATCGACACATCCAGGGCTTCGTCTCCTTCATTTTCCACATCCCACACAAAGACTCCTACCGGCAGGCTGCTGTCCTGGGAGCAAGTGATCAGACTCAGATGGCCCCAGTATTGACTCCAGTATTCCCTAGTATGTGCTCCCGTCCCCGACTGTCAGTCCCCACATTCCGAGGCAAGCTGTCTACCAGGAGACAGAGGATAGTTTAGGAGTAGTCCTAGAAAACCAGAAGCATGTTCTGGCTCCACCTGCTCTCTTTCATAGAGCATGGAATTCCCAACAGAGGCAGGTCCCAGCGAAGGGAGGGCAATGGAGGAAACAGTAGGGACTCACCTGGTAGTCGTGGGGCAAGATGGGTGTGATCTGGCGACAGGTAAGGGTGACATTCTGGCCAGGAAGCTGATAGACAGTCCAGGCTCGGGGATAGAGGGCATGGTAGAATGCAAAGAACCCACACAGGCCCCAGTTCCAGCTGCGCAGGACACTCGGGCGCTCCACAGACAGGACTTGCTGGTACACTGTCTGCCCTTTCCGACGCAAGCATACTGTGAACTAAACCAAGAGGGGCAGTTAGGCTGGAATAGGGTAACCTCAACTTAATCTCCCTTCAAAGTAGCTCACCCTCCAAGCTCAGTGAGTGACCCAGGCCCACCTTCTCCACATGTGTGCCAGGCTTCCTCTCCCCTCTCTCTACTGTTGTCCTAAGAGCCCTAAACCACATCTTCACCATCTCTTAACTGGGGATCAGACTGGTCTTCACACACATATCAAAACATGTCAGTCTATGTTTATAATGTTCTAGTGACTCCCCATGGCCCTCAGGCTAAAATCTAAACTCTAATACTTGGCCTCTCCTTGCCCATCAGATGCTGCCTGAATTATATTCAGTTTCTGAAAATTCATGTTCCATCAGGGCCGTACATTTCTTCCTCTACGTCTTTGCTCATGCTCATTTTTCAGTTGGTGAAAGCCCTCATCCTTCAGGACCTCAGTTAAACGCCATCTCCTCACACAGCAGTCCTGTGTGAGCTCTGCCTGCTCTTCTAGCATGTCACAGTGCATTGACATTCTAACTCCTCGACTGTTCTGGG